GTTTAGGGTTTAGGGTTAAGGGTTTAGGGTTTAGGGTTAGGGTTTAGGGGTTATAGGGTTTCGGGTCTTAAGGTTTAAGCCGTACGGTTTTGGGACTCTTATGCTGCACAAGACAAGCTAGATCTTGTACTACAGGCGCCTACGGCCTAAACCCTAAACCCTACCCTACGTCGGATCTATGATGACAAGCCCTGAGACATCCCCCTCGAACTCCCTGCAGCCCTGACTCTAACCCCTAGATGCCGAAAATGGCATCAGAGTCCTCAACCCTGAGCCCTTAAAAGCCTACTTGAAGGTTCATGGGTAGGGACTCACTGGAGTCACTGGGGTGTGAAGTCGGGTAATGATGATTGTCACTGGCCATGACTTGATTGAAGGTTCGTATGACCCTTCCTAAAAAACTACTAAGTTCTAAACCCTAGACCCTACTTTAAAGTGCCCATGATACCCAGCCACTTTTCAGGTAGACCCTGGGTTTAGGGCTTAGGGGCATACAGGAATTTTAGGGATTGTAGGAGTTATAAGGATTATAGGGATTGTAAGGAGTATAGGGATTCTCGGGATTATAGGGAACTCCCTGGTGCCTTGCCAATGGCAACCAATTCAACTCAGGCCCGGGCCGAATGACCTCACCAACCTGGGTGTGCGTTGAAACGTTGCGCTCTTCGTAAGGCTAACCTTGAACTCCGTACACTCGTAACATAATGTTGTGTGCCCATGGTCTCTTTGCGGGCTCTTGGCTTTTCGAGTTTTGCCGCACACTCGCTTTGGGGCAGTTGGATTTAAACTATAGAATGGTTGGGGTTTAGGTTTTTGGGTGTTTAAGGCTTTAGGGCTTTAGGGTTTAGGGGAATGTGGAGTCCGTGAAGAAATCTGACAGCCTGTGCGTGTCTTCCAACATGACAGGAAGGACTTCTCATTCCAGACGTCTTCCTGTTCCAATACACGCAGCAGCTTACAGTAGAATTGCTGAAGCCTGACAGCAAGCTACGTTGGCCCTTCACAATCTAACAACCTTCCTAAGGACGAGGGTTTAGGGTTTCGGGCCTACCCAGTAAGACAACGCTTGAAATTCTAATCGTAAAGCAGTCCTATAGGGAGCAGAGGCCTCAATCTGGGTGTTTGCACCTTCGCTGGTCGTGCCATGGTGTAGCCAGCCCGAGGCACGCGCACACCTGACCACATCCACGAAGGACAAATCCCGAAAGAAGCTATAAACCATACGCCCTGTCATGACAGGAAATCAGAATAGTGGCAAGTGCTGCTGGCAGTGTAGGCAACCCTCCAAGACAGGGTTTAAAGCTTGAAGCTTAGGGTTTCATCCGAAATATCTTGCCTGGGCATTCGGATGCAGTGTGCAGGGCTTGGGGTCACGGGGCTTGGAGGCTGAGAGTTACACATCGGCTAGCACCGAGGGCCCTAGCAACTCCAATGGCACTGCACGAACCCGCTACCGACCCTCCCTAAAACCCTGCATATGCGCAGAAGTTATAACTCGATAGGTCTTCCATCTACAGCTACCCTACTTCTAAACCAGATAGAACTACATGGGCAGCTTTCACTATTCAGAGGTCAGGCGAAGGTTTCCGAAGGTGAGGGGGATCTTGCAAGCCTCAACACTCTCCTGCGAACGTTCTATTCTCGTTCTGCTGCGTCCCCAAGTGCCGGCCACATCTCCATTTTGCCTTGACCCTGAATAGAAGGCTCCCCACCTGATACCCTAACCCCCAAACGTCTCAACCCTAAACCCTCAATCCAACCTCGCTGCAGCAAGATGGGCCCAAATCGCTCGCACATCTCTTCCTGCACACCAAGGCATGGGTGGGGTTTAGGGTTTAGGGTTTAGGGTTTAGGGTTTAGGGTTTAGGGTTGGTTCCGACATTTAAGCTGACTAAGAAGCGACATGTGTTAGGAAAGGCGGAGGGACAAAATCCCAGGGTCTATCTTGACCCCCTCCCCGCCTCATTGTAGTACCTTCTCAGGTAACGGATCTTGCCCCCCCCCCCCCCCCGCACAAAAAAAAAAAAACTAAACCCTAAACCTCTTGATTCGGCCTTCCTGGATGGGTGATGCAGCTTTCGAGGGCAAATAACACATCAGAAGGTGGCTTGGGAATTTCGGGATACGAGGGTATAGGAGCACGGAAGCCTTTCGGGTGTTCGGGCTAAGGGCTGCTCAAGCTTGACAAACTGGATGCCTGCGAGCGGATCAGCTCATGCGGCGACACGTGCTCAAACACCTGCCGCTGGGGCACACGAGGCGGGAAGGGGGGGGGGGGGGGGGAGGACCTGTTCTGGGTAGCTGCCAAGAGACGTAAAACAAGTTGCAAAAATAAGGAATCCACACTCCTCTGTAAACTAGATATATGAAGTATATGAACCGCATGATATTTTTGGGGGGGGGGATGCTATCACAAAGCTGGCAGTTTTTGTTGGTTACAGAAGAGTTACCCCTGTTGTGAAGTCGTAGGGAACATGAGCCCTGTAAACCCAAAACCCAAAACCCTAATGTCAAGGAAACAATGTACCCAGTATGGCCGAACGACACCGAGCCGGCGAGGCCTCTTCCCCATGACGGCTCAGGTAGATCTCAGTGGCGTCCGGATACCTTCCGCACAGCGGGAGTTTGGGAGTTAGGGTTTAGGGTTTAGGGTTTAGGGTTTAGGGTTGAGGGATTCGGACCTTGGGAAACCAACACCTGCTTTGTGTAGGTTGTCTGAGGATCCTACAAGAGCTTTGTAAGGATTAACATGACTTACAAGGGGTTTCGGCTACTTTTCTCCTTAGACTCTTGACCCGAGGCTCAAACGACTCTGATTCTAGGGGTCCTGAAGATCGATGACGACTGTTGGGGGGTTCATAGCCTCAGGCTTGTTCCTTGACATTAGACTGTAAGAAGTAGGAAGCCTGACATTCTAAACGCGAATCTCTAACCCACAAGCACAGCACCCTGTAGACTCTAGATCCGCAGCATCCGGGCGCACCCAGTGACCAAGAAGTCCCCTGCCTGGGCAGTGTGAGTGTGATAGAGAACGAAAGAGAGAAAGAGAGCGGGAGAGAGAGAGAGAGAGAGCGAGAACGAGAGAGGAAGCGCGAGAGGGAGCCAGCGAGACGGAGACGGAGAGAGAGAGGGAGACAGAGACAGAGAGACAAAGAGACAGAGTGAAAGCAATGAAACGAGAGAGCGGGGAAACATCAGGGAACTGAAGCCTGAGATATTGAATTTGAAGGTCGTCTATATAGACTTAGGGTACTTGGTTTAGGCTTTGACGGTTTGTTGGTCTCGGGCGTAACTAACAAAGATGAACTCTTCGTTGATGGAGAATAATAAGCTTGGTTAGGATTTGCGGTGGACATACCCTCGGTTCGCTGTAGCGCTTCGGAAGTTTGAGATCTCCTCGGTGCCGCGTGCCCAACTCTGCAATAGGGACTTACAGGGTGGGGCCCCCTAGTTATAAGTAGAGTTATAAGGGCCCTAAATTGGGTTATAAGGACCCTAAGGTTATAAGTCCCTTAACTACAGTTAGTATAGTAAGGGGGCCCCACCCTGTAGGGTTTAGGCTTGGCGGTCTCGCGCTATATGAACCCTAATCAAGCCGTACACCCAAAACCCGAACCCTAAGGACCGAAGTCTCTTCGCAGCTCAGGGGCCCTCAGCAGCAGTGGGAAGCTCGTGCCTTTGCAGAAGAACTTCCTTGCGGCTGGGGTTTAGGTTTAGGGTTCGGTTTAGGGTTTAGGGTTTAGGGTTTAGGGTTTAGGGTTTAGGGTTTAGGGTTTAGGGTTTAGGGTTTAGGGTTTAGGGTTTAGGGTTTAGGGTTTAGGGTTTAGGGTTTAGGGTTTAGGGTTTAGGGTTTAGGGTTAGGGGCTTAGGGTTTTGGGTTTAGGGTTACGCTTAGCACCCTATAACCCTAAAACCGTCTGAAGCAGCCGCCAGCAATCTGACGGTGATTTGGCGAATGCAAAGGTGCATTCGACGCTTCCCCACCGGAATGAAACCAAACATTTGGGTCACTAGACCCAAGAGTAACCTAGGAACAAACAGGGTGCCCCTTTTTGGCTTAAAGGGGCTTACAAGGGAACCTATGCCCTGAAAAAAGAGGAATAAGGGCCGACTCTGGATCCCAGGTCATGCACCCTATGCTACGAGTTTGAGAGTTTGAGTCACCTTCTGTTCCCTCATCTTATCTGGCTATATCCAAACCCTACAAACCCCGAAATCCCTAAGCTCATAACCCCCCCCCCCCCCCAACAACCCATACACCCATACACCATCAACCCTGCAAGGTTCGTTGCTTTTTGTTTTGTGTTGTTTTATTTTTGGTTGGCGGGGGGGGGGGGGGGGGGAGCGCTTGAGGGCTCAAGGGCTTGGACATCAGGGGTTTCTGGCTGTAAGGGATTTAAGATGCAAGGGCTTTGAGGCCTCATGCCTTGCAGTGCTGGGTTGCTTGGGTCTGTGGTTTCTGGGTCCCTACACCCTAAACCCCTAAACCACAAACCTTAAACCCCAAACCCTAAACCCTAAACCCCAAACCCTAAACCCTACACCCCACCAAAACCCGCCTTAAAGCCCGGAAGAGGACCCCACACCCTGGCGTCTCCTCGACGGAAGGAATGTGAGGTCGCCTTCCGACACCTGATACATCCTGGCCATTCCCCGCCTTGGCAGTGATTGGGTTTAGGGTTTAGGGTTTAAGGTTTAGGGTTTAGGGTCTAGGGTTTAGGGTTTAGGATTTAGGGTTTAGGGGTCTTAGGGACTTAGGGCTTAGGACTTGTGGGGATGTGACCAAGCCGGTCACAAACACAGACATGCCGCACAATTGCTTTTGAAAACTTTGGGCTATGGGTATAGGGTTAAGGGCACAGATTACCCCAAACCAGAAATTGCAACCACCCCCGCTTCTGGAACGCTGCCAGTGGAGAAGCGACACTGGGGCCGGAACCTCTTGAATCGCTTGAAGCCTCGTGGGGAAAGGTCCGAAGGGCTTTTCCTTAAGAATCCAAACCTATGTTTTGCAGGCTGCCTAAGTAGTGTATAGGGTTTAGGGTTTAGGATTTAGGTTGAGGGCCTGAGAACCCAATAAAGGGTTAAACAAGAACATACACGACATAGGATCGAACTCTACGCACCGGATCGGCAAGGTTCCTAAAGGCATCCCCCCAAACATCACTCAAACCCGAGCCCTAAGCCCTCAACACTGCACAGAAAAAAAAGGTGCTTCTAAACGCAAGCCCAACCCCCCCTCCCCCCCCCAGGCAGGCCTGGAACCCCTAACTGCCATGCGCTTTCCCCTTTTTTTGGGTATGGGGGGGCACCTTTGTATGAAACTCGGTTCCTAGAAACCCTAACGTGCGTAGCTTCTGCCAACATCAGGGGCCTCGATCTCGTAGCACCTGCATGGGGTGAAGTGCAGGACTTAGGGGGCTTTTGGGGATTTTGGTCGGGGGAATCTCAAGCTTGTGCGGGGCTTTTTAGGGGCTTGGGGTGCGCAGGGCTTCGGAGTTTCGGGTGTCGTGTTTTGATTTTAAGGCTGTGTTCAAGCACAACAAGAAAGGACCAGGAGTACTTTCCAACCATCCCGTTCCAGAAGCAGCCACTAAGACAACTGCCACTTCCCCAAACTGGCGCCCTAAACTCCAAACCCTGAACCTAAGCCCTATAAGCCCTAAGCCCCAAACCCAAGCCACGGCCCTGAACCCTGATGGAAGAAGACTCGGACCCCACATCTCAATGTTGGAAATCTTTACGGGGTGTTGGAGTTTTTGCTCGGTATGTTGGGCCATTTAAAATATAACCCTCTTATTCAGCCATACTTGTGTGCGATCATCCTCAAACCATCTTAAACACCAAGCCCCAAGCCCCAAACTCCCAACCCTGCAATCCCTTCTCAGCCCCTTGTATGTCGAGAGGGCATCCGGAGACTTCAACGCCCCTCCGCCCCTCTAATCGAGGGATATTGGAGCTTGGAGCGTTTCGGAATTTATGCAAGAACGTTGCCGGACAGCCAGGAAAACTTTTCTCTCAAGCCCAAGCCCCACGGAGCAAGACACGCAGCATGAATGAACATTTTCGAGAAGTGCCTTGTAAACCCTAAACCCTAAACCCTAAACCCTAAACCCTAAACCCTAAACCCTAAACCCTACATGCTGCCAGACACCTTCGCGTCGGGCGATTCGTCGCCGATATCCACGCCTTCGCTGCGGAAACGGCATCTGTAGCCCTAAACCCTAAACCCTAAACCCTAAACCCTAAACCCTAAACCCTAAACCCCAAATCCTAAACCCTAAACCCTAAACCCTAAACCACAAATCCTAGCCTTAAACCCTGCACTGGAATTCAGAGCTGCTTGATACCAGTAAGTTCTAGAACTTTGTACGGCTGCAGGCTCTCTCCGCCAGAGTTCAAAGATGCCAAATCCTGATCCCTCAACAGGACACAGACCATGAAGAGTCTTCGGTATATAAGGCTTTGGGTGTACGGTTCACGGTTTAGGGTTAAGGGTTTAGGTTTTTCGGTATTTGGGTTTGGGGTTTAGAGTGTAGGTATCAGGGCCAGGGAGCAGACATGTCCGTATAGTTGATAGTGGCGGGATGGCGGTGAAAATCGGCGTTCGTGTTTGTAAGGCTTTGGGCTGTAGGGTGTACCCCAAACCCTGAGCCCTAAGCAGGGGCTGAAGGGCGGAGGCTTAAGCCGCTGAAGCCACTTAGTAGCCCAGTATGACCATATCATAATAAGGGCACCCTTTTTTGGGTTGGTTACTTTCTTAGGGAACCCATAAACAAAAAAAGGGTAAAGGGTACCACTGGTCTACCAAGGCCATCATGAGCGCTGGGCAGCGCCTGGTCGCTCATAGCTGGCATCAAAGCTCGTGCTGTCGAGGACGTACCTGCGAAGAGCGCTACCCATAAAGAAGGCAAGCTTCGCTTGCTTTGGGGTTGGGGGGGGTTGGGGGGGGGGGGGGGGTAGGGTGGTAGGGGGTGGTAGGGGGTTGTCGGGGAAGTGGGGGGAGTAGGGGGTAGTAGGGGATAAGTAGGATGGGGTAGGGGGGACTGGAGCTCTCCAAGTCTGGACCCCTAAACTCGAGCAGCAACAACCGACTATTCCCAAGGTGCTGATCTCCCGTTCTCTTACAAACCATAAGGCCCATGGCAACTCACAAACCCTAAACCCCCCAAACGCTAAGCCCTGAACCCGAAACTTACACCCTAAACCCTAAACCCCAAACCCTAAACCCTAAATCCTAAACCCTAAACCCTAAACCCTCCTACTGTTGAGTCGCCCCAAAACCGGCTTGGGCATCGAAGAAAGGGGATGAAGACCGCACGTGCTTGAAGGTTTAGGGTTTAGGGCTCAGGGTTTATAGGGTTGAGGGTTTAAGGATAGTGCTCGAAACCCTAAACCCGAAACCCTAAACCCTAAACCCTAAACCCCAAAACCCTAAACCCTAAACCCCAAAACCCCTGAAGTTGGTCCCTAGTATGGGCCCTGACATGGGGGACCCCTCACAAACCCCTTATATACCCTAAACCCTAAACCCTAAACCCTAAACCCTAAACCCTAAACCCTAAACCCTAAACCCAAGGGCCCATACTTCGGAGCTCTTTAAAGAAGGCCAGGGGCCGTATTACGGGCCCATGAAGATCTAGGATGGTCCTTCAAACCCTCTGAAGATTCCTAAATATGATCCTCTTGAAACAAATGAGGGAACATGGGTTCATGGTTTAAATTTGGGGTTTAGGGTTTATGGTTTAAATTCGGGGTTTAGGGTCTAGGGTTTAGGGTTTAGCGTAAGAATCCCAAGGGCCTACCTAGAACTACCCTTAGCTGAACACCCGAGCCGCAAACCCGAAGCCCGTTTGGGAGTACTGAACCCTAAACCCTAAACCCTATACCCTAAACCCTATACCCTAATTCCGAAACCCCAAACCCCAAACCCTAAACCCGGCAAGCCCGCCATTCGCGGTCGGTCGTGTCTGCCATGATGACCATGCCTAAGTGGCTTCTGGAGCCCGCTAAAAACTGGCAATTGCTGAGGATCCTATACTACTATTTGCTTAAGAACCCCCCAAAAAAAACTTCTTCCTTATATGAGGGCAAAAGAGAGGAGTTATTACCTCTTTTTTCTGGGGGGGGGGGGATGCTGATAAGCAAATAGTAGCATGATCCAAAGGACGAAAGAACACACTTCCAGAAATCAGTCTAGATGCTCTTGTCATCCTCGACCACGGCCTGCCAGCAGCTCAGGGACCGAAGCAGACGCCGAAAAAAAAAAACGAACCTCAAACCCCGAACCCCAAACCTCAAACCCTAAACCCTAAACCCTAAACCCCGAAGCTTAAGCCCCAAATCCTAGACCGCAGAGAGTGCGGCCATGAGAACTTCCAGAGCCCCCAGCGGCTCCACATGGGCCGAAGTAGATCTCGGGTTCAGGAGTTTAGGGGTTTAGAGGTTTTAGGGGTTTAGGGGTTTAGTTTAGGCTCTTAGGCTCTTAGGGGTTTAGGGGTTTAGGGGTTTTAGGGGTTTTAGGGGTTTAGGGGTTTAGGGGTTTAGGGGTTTAGGGGTTTAGGGGTTTAGGCTCTTAGGGGTTTAGGGGTTCAGGGGTTTAGGGGTTTAGGGTTTAGGGAGGAGTAGATAACATTCTCAAACACCGGAGGCGCAGGCAGAGTGTACCTCAGCACATCGGCGAAGCTGACGGGTTTGGCTTTACTTGGAGCAACGGAGCCAGGTGTCCATCCGAACGAAATCCCCAACAAAAACCTGCTTGGAAGCTCTGTGGACTTAGTAGGTAGTGCTAGGAAGTTGGGTTATGGTGATTATTATAGGGCTTCCAGGGCGTGCTAAGCAGAGCTTACGAAGTCACAAGAGCCATACTCCTAAAACTGCAACCCAATCATAAGTTAGGAGCTTTAAGGGTTTTTTACGCTCAAACTACTAATTGTTTAAGAACCCCGATATAAAAACATATTCTTCCTTATTAAGGATAATATGGGGATTCTTGTTTTGTTTATTCTTTTAGGGTTCTTAAGCAAATAGTAGCAAAAGAAAGGATGCTGGAGGCACCTTGCCTTGGCTATCTCTTCACCATCGACGATGGTCAGCACCTGCCAAGGAGGGAGGGGGGGGGGGAGGGGAGGGGGAAAGGGGAGGGGGGAAGGGGAGAAGGGGTTTAGGGTTTAGGGTTTGAGGTTTCGGGTTTGAGGTTTCGGGTTTAAGGTTTAGGGGAGGGGGGTCAGCCCCGGTCAACCCTCAACCCTTGAGGCGCTACGTAAGCTTTACGGTAAATAAATAAGGGGCTCGTAGAGCATTCAGTTGCAGTTTCCCTTTCTTCAGGTATATGGAAGAGGTTACTGTAAACTCCATGAACGTAAATGCCCCAAGAAGGGTGTAGAGGTTACTCTCTAAAAGCCTTTGATCTTATACCCTAAACCCGCACAATAAGGGGGTATAGGTTACTGTCCGTAGGGCTATAAATAGAAGGGACCCTAAATCTTATTCCCCTATATAACCCCTATATATATATATGTATATACATACCTCAGGTAGTCCCTATAGATAGTCCCTATAAACGTAAGTACCCCCCTGAATAACCCCCCTAAGGTCCACCAAAAGAATCCCTCCATTCGTCCCTTGATGTTTAGTCTAGGTCTACTTAGTTGCTGAGTTCATAACCCCCCCCCCCCCCTCCTCAACCAAAAAAGAAAAAAGGTGCACACTTCAGTTCTACAGGGGGGGGGGGGGTTCTAGTATCCCAAAAAGCGTACAGTGTACCCTAAACCCTAAGCCCTAAATCCTAAACCCTAAACTCGAAACCCTAAACCCTAAACCCTAAACCCCAAACCCTAAAGCCCTAACCCAGCTGTCGCCTCCTCGCCACGCATCGCTGGCCTGGCGACACGCCAACCGATGCGGCGCACCTGGGCTTAGGGTTTAGGGGTTAGGCTTTAGGGTTTAGGGTGTAGGGTGTAGGGTTTAGGTTGGGATGTTTCCCCTTATACTGACAGTCCTTACTAGGATGATAATGGGGAGCACTATAATCCCATTGAAGTATAAGTGGGAATATCCCAAGGTTTAAGGTTCATACAGGGTGTAGGGTTGACGGCTACGGTTTCGGGCTTTCAGGAGGTACTTATAAGGAGGGGTTTAAGCAGTGTAGCTATGGCCAAGCATGTTCTGCTTAGGGTACTTGGAACATAAGTACCCTTGAATTCCAGGTAAGCCCTCACAGACTTAAACCCTGAACCCCGAAACCATCCAGGCTTCTGGCGACGGTTCCGCACTTGCGGATGATGGGGAGGAAGTGCCTTCAGTATAGGTCTTGGGGTGGATTTATCTTGGTCTTGGGAGCCGAGAAAGACTATCAAAACTTTTAGGGTTCAGAGTTTAGGGTTTAGGGTTCACCCCTTCTGCGTGTTAGTTGCTTTGAGAAAGGAGCATGGAAGCCCACAAAACGGCCAAAAGGCTTCCACCGGGGCTACCAGGTAGTGGTTCTTACAATGGTTTCTATGATTTAGGCTTCAGGGCTTGGGGCTCTTACAGGGCTTTCTATGGTTTAGGATTGAGGGCTTAGGGTTCAGGGCTTAGAGGCCCGTAATCCCTAAACCCTAAACCTTTCAGAGTAGGGATGGTTCAAGGTTGGGGTTCAAAGCATGGCGGCTATCCCTCCCTCGACGAAAGCCAAGTTCTCCTCCCTGAGATCTAAGCGCCCTAAACCCTAAACCTGGGATGTTCCACCGTACACTGGGTTTAGGGTTTGGGGTTTAGGGCTAGCAGTCCTTATAATGGGGATGATCGTACCCCCCCGCCCCTATGATAATCCCTACTCAAGACTGTTAGAAAAAGGGGAACAACCCAAATTAGAAACCCTGAGTCTCTGCAGGGTCAGCACATCGCGGTGCAGCTGCAATTCTGCGGACCCACTAGGCAGATTCAAAAAAGCTTTGGGTTTCCGGGTTTAGGGTTCAAACTTGCCCAGCTGCAACGTTAAAGCCCATGAGACCCCTAAGCAGTTCAGGGATCCCAAATTGGGATGTTCCCCTTGCACCAGCAGTCCTGAATAGGGATTCTAGTAATTAAGGGGGGGGGGGGGGTACCATAAACCCCATTAAGGACTGTTAGCTTAAGGGAACATCAAGGGGGGGTACTATAAACCCCATTAAGGACTGCTAGCTTAAGGGGAACATCCCAGAGATCCCAAGGCAAAGCCGTGGAAGGAACTAGCCTGGCCTGCACATCTCGTCCTGGGAGCGGATGATCTGCGACAAGTAGATCTGCTCGGCGTTTCGGCTCAGGAAGACCTGCCCCCCCCGCCCCAAAAAAAGGACAAATCACAAGAAAAAAGGTTTACAGGGCTTGTGTCGGGTTTAGGACTCAATGTTTCTGGTTTTCCCAAAGAAACCCTCGAACTCCAACACTCCGCAACCCAACTCTAAACCCTAAACCCTAATTAAACCCTAAACCCTAAACCCTAAACCCTAAACTCTCTAAACCCTAAACATGGCCCCCTTCTTGTGCCAAAGAGCGACAGGGATCCTGCGAAGGGCAACTTCAAGAGACCCTGCTAAACCCTAAACCCCATATCCGTCTAAACTCTAAACCCTAAGCCCTAAACCCTATAAACCCTAAACCCTAAGTCCACACCCTAAAGTGTGGGCATCTTGAACGGTACCCCGGAGTGGTGCAGGTAAACCCAAAACTCTTCAAACCCTAAACTGCAGTGTCTGAGGCCAAGACCTCTGTAGCTTCCGGATACCCCGTCGCAAGGTAGTCGCCTGCATCCCGCCATGTACGGTGAATGCGCGATAAGGTTTAGGGTGTGGGGTTTAGGGTTTAGGGTGTAGGAAGCAAAGCTCACAGCAGGCATCGAGAGAACGATGCAAATCGGCAAAGCAGCCTGTCGAAAAGGCACTTGGAGGTTCGGGGTAGCCCAAGTATAAGTGCAGCTATAACCCATTTATAAGCCTTTAAGTACCCTAAGGATAGCCCAATTATAAGTGCAGCTATGGCCCACTTATAAGGCTCTTAAGTACCCTGACAGGAGCCCAATTACAAGAGCAGCTATAACCCACCATAGGCCTCATAAGTACCCAAATAGGGTTACCATTGGGTTATCAGTACAGTTCTTTGGGTTACTAAGTACCATGAACCTCCAAGCAAGGCACACTTGCAAGAACCCCGCGCCTGCCCGGACCTGAGCCGGCATGGAGACAAGGTAGGGTGGTCTGTGTATGGCATTGGGCCCGCATGGCAGGTAAAATTAACAGCCTTGTAGCCTGCACACCCCTAAGCCCTGATCGCTCCTCAAAGCTATAAGCCCTGCAACCCTCAACCCTAAACACATCCAAGAATGCCTATAATGAAGCACGGGGCTGCCCTAGCCCAACACTGCAAAACCCCTAAGCGTGGTAAAACCCTAAAACCCCAAAACCACAAACCTGCAACCCCAAAGCCCAAGAGAAAAACATGTCTATAACCGAAAACACGCGCTTAAAAAGACACAAATACGCACACAAACAAAACAAAACAAAACAAAACAAAACACAACACAACACAACACAACACAACACACACACACACAAAAAAAAAAAAAAAAAACCTTAAAGTCCCCCAAATCCCTGAAGCAATAAGCCGCAAAAAGCCCCCGTAGTGCTGAGGTCTGTTCGGGCTGAGGCGTCGAGCTGAAGTCGACCTAGAGAGAGAGAGAGAGAGAGAGAGAGAGAGAGAGAGAGAGAGAAAGAGAGAGAGAGAGAGAGAGACAGAGAGAGAGAGGGAGAGAGAAAGAAAGAGAAAGAAAGCAAGAAAGAACATGGGGTTTAGGGTTTCGGGTTTCGGGGTTAGGGTTTCGGGGGGGGGGGGGGGGGTTTGGGGTTTAGGGTTTGGGGTTGACAAGGACTTGTAGGCAGTGAAGCAGCTGGTGTCTCTGATCAGGGTTTCAGGGCTCAGGGTTTAGGGTATAGGGTTTAGGGTTCAGGGTCGGCTTTGGGGGCTGTCGGCTTGGGGGTTTGGGGTTTAGGGGTGGTGTGGGGGGTGCTAAGGGGTTGTATGCTTCGGAGCATTTCTCAAGTGAGAGCTTTGCCCGAACCCTGAACCCGTATGTGGGGTTTAGGGGGTTAGGGGCGCATCGGGAGGTCTAGGGATGAGGGTTGAGGGTTAAGGGTTGAGGGTTTTGGGTTTAGGGTTTAGGGTTGAGGGTTGAGGGTTTAGGGTTTAAGGTTTAGCCAGCTGGGGGTTTCTAGCCAATAGGGGAGTTTAGGGCCTGTCACTTCGTAGGCTTTACCCCTAAACCCTGAACCCCAAACCCTGAACCTAATCCGCATGGTTTGGAAAGGTTTGATTCAGGCCGTCGGGCTCGTCTCCAGGCCCTGCAGAGCTGAGACCTTTTTCCTGTGCTCTCTGTCCCTGCGTTCCTGGTAGGGTTCAAGTTTTGCCAACCCCCAGTCCCTGGAACCCTGAATACCCTAAACCCTAAACCCTAAACCCTAAACCCTAAACCCCTGGGTAGGGTGCGATTTTTGCCGGGGTTGGGGTAGGATGGTAGTGTCTAAGGATAGTCTGGGCTGTGAAGATTGGGGCGGAGGATCTTCTACCGATTATGGCAGTCTATTTTTCAATTATAGCTGTTGCGATAACCTACTCATAGATCCTTGAATTACGGTTTAGGGTGTAGGGTTTAAGGTTTAGGGTTTGGGGTTTAGGGTTTAGGGTGGGTTGTAAATGAGTTATCAGTACGGTCGCACTTGGGTTTCATAAGCGCCCATGAAGCTTCATGTGGGGGAAGTCACAGAATCCCACGACTTCCTGAGTCGGGCGCCTGGAATTTGCCTCCAGGAACATCCAGCATGTCCTGAGAAGAAGGGTCTAGGTCTAGGGTTCGGGTTTCGGGTTCAGGTTATATACAATCCCCTTTAACTAAACCTAAACCAAACTACATTGGAGCCTTCAGTCAAGCCCTAAACCCCGAATCCCACTCGCCGATCTCGATCTGCCAAGCCCTACACCTGAACCCTAAACCCCAAGCACGGATTAAAGCCTACAAAGTCCGAACTACAAACCTCCACAACCAAAAAACCTCAAACAAAGCTCCCTTCCACATGGTCTCTGTACCCTGCTTTCTAGGGCTGAAAGGCCATACTTTGGGGGCCGCCTCAGCGAGCACGCTCTGTTTCTTCGCGCAAGATCCGGATCTTCCAGGAAGACATCTGCAACTGCTCCGACAAGGGATGGATCTAGTCTCAATAAACTAACCTGCTTGTCACGGAACCGTACTCTTGGTATTCACCACGTTGCCACCGCAGCCATGTTGCAGGACATACCCACCCGTCCTCAAACCACTCCACCTGACATTCCCAACATCGGCATACTTTCGTGTTGATTCTGCAATCATTGAAGCCAGACAAACTTCTAGACAGGGATGCTGAGATGGTCAACGTCAAAGACGTGCAGCCCTTGAACGCACCCATTCCAACAGTGCGTACCGTCTCCGGTATGATCAAAGACCTTAGAGATCTGCAATTGTTGAAAGCCGCATGTTCGATGGTCGTGGCCGTTGCTGGTATGACCACGCTCATCAACGAGTGACAATCTCGAAAAGCGCTATTCCCGATGGACGGAATTTGGGATGATCACTCGCACCAAGGAGCCGCAATTCTGGAAAGCCCCAGGCCGAAGTTTTCTCACCCCTGGAGGAATGTGAACAAAGATCAGTGAACGAGCATCGCAACGTGCCTCGTCTTGATGCGCGCACGTCACTGCCGGCACATGCCGAAAAACGACGTGGACTTCTGCCCCTTGAAGCAAGCCGACCTCCTGGACTGTCTCCAAGTCATCCTCGAGCTTTCTGTCCCCGAAGACCAAGTCAACTGCAGTAAGTCTGCGCATGACTTCATCCTCGCATGGGTTCCACCGTTGCATCTCCCTCTTGAGCTCTTCAACCCTCATGCCTGGTGCAACTTCCAGCTCGGTGAGTGCCGCTCCGCTCAGAAGCCGCATGGAGATCCTCAGCGCCATCGCGTATGAGCAACTGTACACAGATACTCTCTCGGAGATATCTGCGATGTCATGCGTTTGTACATGTCTGAGCGTGTGCATGTACAGAAGCTCAGCCAATAGACCCTTCACTGAGATCCGTCAAGAACATGTCATGGCCTCGGACGCTCTTTCTCAGCTCACGAGACCCATCGAATCGTGGCTAAGACAGGGGTGGCATCCCAGGAACCCTACAGGGTGGGGCCCCCTAGTTATAAGTAGAGTTATAAGGGCCCTAAATTGGGTTATAAGGACCCTAAGTTAGGTTATAAGTCCCTTAACTACAGTTAGTATAGTAAGGGGGCCCCACCCTGTACAGCTCTGAACCCGAAACCTTGGGAGGCAGTACTCCATAAATTCGATTTACCGTAAAAAAACGCCTAACACCAAATCACACCTTACAATCCTCTAACCTATGACCCTAAATACCCTACAAACTTGAAACCCCCGCACTTCGAGGCTCCGGTTGTTTTGTGAACAGGCCATAGGCAGAGCTATGGATATAAGTCCCCTAACTTGAGAATCGACAAATGCCCTGGAAAGCCCTACAGGGGTTTAGGGTTTAGGGTTTAGGGTTTAGAAATAAACCCTAAACCCCAAACCCTAAAAACCCTAACCCCGAAACAAACCCTGAACCCCACGCGCCCCAGAAACCTTTGGGGTTGCTGGGGGAAGCCCCGGAGTTCACCCGAAGCCTACAGCCCGAAAGCACACGCGAATTTCCCAACTTTCGCAGGGTTTCGGGTTTAGGGCTTAGGGATTATAGGGCTTATAAGGAGAGAGTGTAGGGATGTGTAGGGCTTTTTTCGGTCTTGCAGGGCTGAGGGTTTGGGGTTTATCCGGGTCAGGAAGTCCTCCTCACTGACCTTGTAGATCCTCACCTGGGCATCAAGAAGCAGGGAAACGCCCAAATTTGCGCGACCACCCGTATAGACCAGACCCACGTAGCGTAGCAATAGAAAGGGTATTCTTTTTTGGGGGTTTAAAGGGTCTATAAGAGAACCTAAGCGCGTAACAAAAGGGAATAAGGGCCGTAAAGCTACAATCTGTCACTGGGTGCGGAAGCGTTTGTGCGGCTTTAGCCTCCTTTGCCGAGGCCACTGCGTGGCCCTTTCGCTCGTAGTAGCGGAAGCCACGGGCCCTTCAAGCGGCAGTGAGCACTAGGACACAGAAGCCTGAAAGTCCTTTAGGGCTTAAGGGCTTTTAAAGGGTTTGGAGGTCTAGGGGTCTAAGTCGGGTTTAAGGTCTAGGGCTTGGGGCATAGGGTGGCTTAAGGGTTCGGGTATATGGGTTGAGGGTTCAGGGTTTTTGGGGGTGCAAAGGGTGGCGGTGTATAACCTTCACAGAGCAGTGTACCTTAACTCGTATTTCCACTTGTCACTTGCTTGGGGTTGCGGGAACCCTAACCCTAAACCCTAAACCCTAAACCCTAAACCCTAAACCCTAAACCCTAAACCCTAAACCCTAAACCCTAAACCCTAAACCCCAAGCCCTAAACCTGGGAGCGAATGGTGCATTGCAAGGAAGATCGCAGCTGATAACGATGGTTCTGGACCCGCTGAAGCGTCTGCGAAGTAAAAATAAGCTGGGGTGTAGCTAGAGCTTCCAAACTGAAACTGAACCTTGCGAAGCCCTCCTAAACCCACAAAACCCAAACCTAGAGACCCCAAACCCTAAACTCTAAACCCTAAACCCTGAACCCTGAACCTGTAGACCCTTTTGACCCTGAACCCAAGTATCACTCAAACTTCCCCGAGGAACCCAAATCCGCCTCAGGGAGTCGTAGGCGGTGCCCTGCTCCAGCAGTTCCGTGCCGGGCAGCTCGTAGTTTCTGCCAAGAGAATGGCAAGGGTTTAGGGTTTAGGGTTTAGGGTTTGGGGTTTAGGGTTTAGGGTTTAGGGTTTAGGGTTTAGGGTTTGGGTTTTGGGGGGCTGGTGGCTTTTTCGGCACAGGGCCGATGGGCCTATTAGGGCTTCGGGGGTGAAATTTTAGAGGTCTAAATACCCCAGATGGCCCTACCTGCACCCCCTACCCCATTAACAAGGCCCCATGTGCACCTTTAGGAGTCTTAAAGTGCACTGGGGCGGAGGGGGGGGGGGGGTCTAGGTAGACCCTAAACCCTAAACCCGTCGATTTTCTATAATAGGAGGCAAAGAGCCATGATCCTCACCCTAAACCCTAGAAACCCTAAACCCTAAACCCTAAACCTAGATAGAGGGCTTTTGGAGTGGGAAGAGCGTGGCTTCAGGGCACCTGGGGTTTAGGGCACCTGCGGTTTAGGGCACCTGGGTTTAGGGTTTAGGCTTCAGGGCTTATGGGGTCGAGAGGGAATATGGGGTTCATGGGATTTTGCATCCCAGCATTCCAAGCGATCAACGACCCAAGTGTTTCAACGAAGGCTACCCCAGAAACGGCAAGAAAGCACTAACACCGTCGGAAATCACACTGGGCTGATGTTCCAGCACCCCCAAAAAGCACCGAACATGCCCCATGCCTTCCTGAAGAACCCCCCAAAACCTACTGTGCCTAAGGGTCCATGTACCCATATGGTTATGAATTGGGCCTCAAAGGGTTCCCATATAGGAGCATCAGGACCCAAGTAGGTACCATAGAGGTACATGGACCCTTAGGGTGTTTGTTTGTAGGTTACCAAAGTTACCTATACGGGCCAAGCTCGGCCCTTCTACTATGATATTGGGGCTTCGTAGTAATAACCTACAAAAAAGTAGGTTTTGGGATTCTGAAGGTTTATCTTCGTAGTAATAACCTACAAGCTACAAAAAGTCTGTTGTTGTGAAGGTTTTCTGGTGGATTACTGGTCAAGCCTTTCGAACTTCTCTGCGCTCAGAACGTACAGCTCTCGGTCAACCGAGTCCTGCAGTTCCGACCCCCTGCTTCGTTAGATAGGGTTTAGGGGTTTAGGGGGTCGAGGGTTAGGGTTTACGGTAACCTTAATCAAAGCCCCTCCATATGGGAGTTTACCCTTTTGAGGGGGGCCCCCTAGAATTTGAGTCTTGTAGGGGGTGTATTGGACGGTCGGAAATGCCTGTATCCTCGCAACGGATAGACCCCTGCTTGAGAATGAGGACTTGGATCCCCGCAAGCCTGGGTTCATAAGGGATGCTCACTCACAACAGCGAACACGGGTGGGCGGGGGGGGGGGGGGGGGTGGTTGAATCCAAAAAATACCCCTTATATACCCTATACAACCCATTAAAGGCCCGTTGAAGGGGCGACTGGGCGCCCTAGTAGAGCAACCCTTCCCAGTGTCTAGATTGGTCCTGCTGGATGACGTAGCTGGTGTCCTCATCTCAGGTGCTTAACAAAATCAAAATGCCGTTGCATGGAGCTTAGAGAGTCCTGGAGATAAATCTGTAGTGTACCTTTTGCTATAACTGGTTGCTTCCATACTTGGGGTTCTTGTAACCGCGCCTAGCTACTCATGAACCTGCAATTCAACTACATCTCCTTATGAAGCCCATGCAAACCTAAACCCTACCGGGAGACTCCAATGCAGTTCCTTTGCCCGTTATGACTAGACATTAACCCCCTTGCCATTACAGCCATGTTCCCACTTCTACCCGCCTTGCTCCAACGACCGTGGCGGGTTGGAGGGTTGGGCGTCGGGCTTGCGAGCTTTTGGCTTGTTTACGTAGGGTTTGTAGGGCTTAGGGTTTAGCTTAGGGGTTTGTAGGGTTTAGGGTTTAAGGCGTATTGAGTTCAGGGACATACACTTGAAAGAAAGGCCACCAACCAGACTAGGTTTAATGACTGAGGGTGGCCTCATTTTGAGTAACGATACACCCAAAAGGCAAGCGAAACGTACCAAAAAAACTGGCTTTCTCTACACCCTAACCCTAAATCCTATTAAAACCCTACAGCCTGACCTATGAAACAGTGTAACATGTACATTGCTCTATAGGTCATGCAGTGGGTTCCGTGCTTGGTTTTGGCACTCAAGATTTGGAATTCGGGTTCAAGGTTTAGAGTTTAGGGTTTACGATTTAGGGTTTAGGGTTTTAGGGTTTAGGGGTTAGGGGGGTTTACGGTTTATAGGTTTAGGGCTCAGTGCTGCCGTGGAACGTCATTCACGATGGTCTTTGCCACAGTCTCGCCGTTGATGACAGTCTGCACCTCACCGTGGCCTAGGCCCTTGCCCTGAACCCTAAACCCTAAACCCTGAAACCTAAACCCTAAGCCCGAAACCCTAAACCCACCCAAAATTCTAAACCCTAAAACCCTAAAACCCTGAACCCCTAAACCCTAAGCCCTCAACCCTGACCCCCCTAAACTCTGAACCCTGAAACCTAAACCCTAAACACCCCTAAACCGTACCCTAAACCCCCTTAACCTAAACCCTAAAACCCTCAATCCCTAAACCCTGAACCCTAAACCCCTAAACCCTAAAACTTTTGCCTAAAACCCTTAAAACCCTAAAACCCTAACACCCTAAAAACCCTAAACCCTAAAACCCTAAACCCCTAAACCCTAAATTCCCCCTCCTCCCCCATAAAGCGCCTCCTCACCGCGCATGGCGAGGCGCGCAAGCCTTCGGCCGACCTTGGGCACCACCTGGCCGCGAAGCCTGGGCTGGGGGTTTGGGGTTTGGGGTTTGGGGGCTTTGGGGTTTGGGGTTTGGGGTTCAGGGTTTAGGGCTTTAGGGTTTAGAGCTTTAGGGTTTAGGGCTTAGGGTTTGGAGTTTGGGGTTTGAGGTTTAGGGTTTAGGGTTTAGGGCTTTAGGGTTTGGGGTTTAGGGTTTGGGGTTTGGGGTTTAGGGTTCAGGGCTTGAGGGTTTGGGGTGGAGAGTTTGGGGGACTTGGAGTTTGGGGAGGCGGGCTCAAGAGTTTGGGGTTTGGGGCGGAGCTCTCAATTGCCCATACCTAAACCTCAAGCCCTTTTGAGGCAAGGCGGGAGTCAGAACGGGGTGGGTTTGTCTTGGGTTGGACCAGGAGCTATTACTATTACTATTGTTACTATTATGA